AGTGGGAGAACTTGCACAATTGGTGGCTGACTAAATACTTTTTTGCCCCACTGTATGTGGTAATGACCTTGGGAGACAGGAAGAAGAGCCACAGCATAGACAACCATCATGTAAAAAATATCTCAGCCCACAGGAGGAAAATGGGCATGGGAAGCATCTCAGAAGGGACCCTTCCTAGTTTTCCGGAAAGTAAAAGTAAAGGAGGGGGGAAGTGCTTTCAGACTTGTAAGTTTCTATTACTGTAACCTTACAATAAAGGTAAGGTTATGCTCATGGTTTGTGCTTCTTGTCTGGACTACCTCAAAGGGCTGACAGGAGGTGACCTGTGGTTAGGTCCATGTGGTGGTGTCTTTGAGGGACAGGGTGGTTTCCTCAAGAAGTGCACCCTCTCCTCAAGACATCACTGGACCAAATGGTCCTGGAGAATTACTGTTCAGTCTGCAACCTTTCCTGAATAAAGTGTATTATTTGGACCCATTCCAGTCAGGTTTCAGGGTGGGGTTTAGTACAGAGATGGCATTGGTTGCACTTGTTGATGACTTGTGATGGAGCTGGGATGGGAATGATGCGTCCATCCTTATGTTTCTTGATTTCTCAGCTTTTGATATCATCAACTATGGTATCCTTTTGGACCAGTTTAGGGGATTGGGGCAGGAGGCACCATTACACAATAGTTCTCCTTTCTCTGTGGCCAGTTTCAATCAGTGTTGATGAGTTGGAGGCTGCTGCAGGGTTTGATGCTCTCTCTCCTTCTGTTTAACATCTCCATGAAACTGCTGGGTGAGGTCATCATCTGCCAGTTTGGGTATCATCAATATGCTTGACCCCTGGCTGGCCAAGTGATGTGGTCAAAGTCCTAACTCAGTGCCTGGAGGCTGTGCTAGTTTGGATGGGGAGAAACAGACTCAGGCTCAGTCCTAAGAAGACTAAGTGGCTGTGCCTTTTGAGGCCCCTCGGATCTGGAGGGATTCCATCATTGACTCTCATGGGGTTGCACTTTCCTACAGGTAATCCTCAAGTTAGGATGGCAATTGGGACCAGAATTTCCATTGCTAAGCAATGTGGATGTAAAGCACAACATTGTGTGACTGCATTGTTTAGCGATGGCAATCCTGGCAGTCTCAGTTGCTGTCATAATTCCAGGACCATGTAGGTCATTAAGCAGAAAGAGGTGGAAGTCCCAGGCAAGCAGGCCAGTGGGTGAGAGCTGCAGGTGAGAGATAGAGGTGGGCACTAGAGACCATGGATGGGTGCTGCAGGTGGGCGTTAGCGAGCATGGGTGGGGAAATGGGTGCTGTGGGCAAGCACTAGGGAGTGTTGGGTGCCATGGGTGGGAGGTGGGGCAACAGCAGGCAGGTGGACAACGGTGGCAAATGTGGGCTATCCCGAATTTTGATCATGTGACCACAGGGGCACTGTGATGGCTGAACTTGGAGAACCGGTCCTAAGTCCATTTTTTCAGTGCCATCATAACTTTGAACAGTCACTGAACAAATGGACATAACCCGAGGACTACCTGTATTTGAAATTTGTGCACAATCTGGGGGTCCTCCAATTACTCAATTGTGTGAACATATTTTGCTTTCTTACAAATATAGAAATTCTTTTCATTTAGATTATTCCCTGGTATTTTATACCTTATTATCTGAAGTTAAAACATATGACTTAAATGCTCTATCTCTGTCATAACATGCTACTATGAAATTAACAGCTTCATTTGACAAGAATTTACATATATCTTTCAAATGGCTTTTGAATGTATCTTTCTTGAATGGTAATGTTTTTATTAAGCAGATGGAATAGAATTATTTTTAGCAACAGAATGTGTGATCTCTGTTTTTGGCATGATTTATTAAGTACTTCTCTTAAAAAGAAGCAACGATTAAAGTTAATTCTTTTGAGGAGAAATCTAAAGAATACTAATTCTCTAGGTATCCCATCCAAGTCTTGAGCATTACAACTAAATATGAACAAGTTTTATTATACTGTATCAACTAATGCTCCTGGAAAGGAACTCTAGTAAGCTGTTGACTTTAAAACAAATTAAGTAACATGACACGTATCTTCTGTTCATGACATCTATTGGGAAGTATATATAGATTCTAGATTAACAGCTTTTAGAAAGAGTTATTTCAAATTGTATAATTCCAGTCTCTCTTCAGTAGATGAAGAGAGAATATTTTTAAATAGCTGTAATAATCTCACACTGTATCACACAACAGTTTACTAACATCTTTTCTGTTTTTGTGGTTAATTAAATCTGTGAAAGGGCTTATAGTCCTGATATTTTTCCAGGTGACTAGTACAAAAGTATGCCTTTATCTCCGGTTTTATCGGAGGTATATGTCAAAGCTTTTTCAAAGCTCATATTACATAATTTCAATGAGGCAATATTGCAATCTTTTTAAAACAAGGTAAAGATCTTATAGTCTGTTTCAGTTAAAGACCTCTTGTTCAAAAAACTTTGATATTAAGGTTTTACAGCCCAACCTGGTTGGTCAATTACAGCTTGTTCTTCCAGCTCTCATTCAACCAGTTTATGGTAAATTTATATGCGTTATCAAGTGCTGACTAGATGTTTAAGTGAAATGGCAAAAAAGTAGTTTTGCAGGAATATTTTTATTTAATAAATATATGGTTAATGATGTTCCATGATATTCTTCATTTGCAGGCATCCTGTTTGAAAACTTACCCTTCCTTGTTATTTGTCCCACCCACAACTCAGCATTAGAGATGGTACCTGAAGAATCTTCCCTAACTTTCCAACAATGTCTAATATGCCCTCGATGTTACAAGGGCGATCCTCAGACTGAGCATTCCCTGCCTTGTAGAGATCAAGTATCTGATTTTTGGAATGGTGGATTGAGATGTCTTCATTTATGAGGCTAGGAATAAAAACAGTCATGG